TTCCTGGCCAGGGGAGGTACCCCCATGAATTCAGCCAATCGCGTCAATTGTATTGCTAACTGTTGATTAGTGTGGGTCGTGTTTTGGATTAATGGTTGAAATATTTCACCCATGGTTTGGGAGAGAGTCTGAACCATTTGCAAATTGCTTTCATCCATTTGTTGTCTTAAACACGCAACAGAGGTATTGGTCAAGTTAGGGCCTTGTGTCGAATACTCTAGGCTCGAACCTTGGGGATTTCGACCGATGTTCACGCCAGACCCTGATCCTTGTAATGGTGAAGCCATTGCATTATTTGAGAATATAGGGGGCGCATTTTGGAGCCCTTGCATTAAAGTTGTGGGCATCCCATACGGGGGGTTTCTTGGTGACTGCGAAAACCCGGGAGGAGCAAACTGTCTAGAAGTCGAACTTCCTCCCAACGGCATTTGAGGATTCAATACTTGAGGTCCAATATATTCCAACACTGGTTGACTGTAAGGTCTTATTATGGTCGACCCAGTCCCAAGTACTGAGGGTGTTGGTTCTGGCCTCACAGGATGCGCCATTTGTTCTCCTGTTGACGGTATCGAAGGCGAGACTACGCTGTTCCCTGCTCTTTCACTAGAACCGTCTCCCTGGGGTTAGGATTATTTGGCTGATTTGCATTCGTCGCCATATTCCTAATGTTTCGTCTTGTTAGTCTCTCTTCGTTTACAGCGGTAATTCTACCACTTTTCAGTAACATAAAAATGCATTTTTCACGAAAGGACCAATAAGAATGTATTTTCTACAAATTTTGATTATATGAAGGAATTTCTTTTTAGCACGGTCCCACTGGGCGTGCCATTTTGTTTCCCCCTGAAAATTGAAAAACAACCGCTGATCTTCCAAATCTAACTTTTGTGACTCACAGGATCGATCAGATTGATCCTAGGACATGTGCTAAAAAGGTTTTCTTTGAAAATCTATCTAAGTTTCAGACTTTGACAATATTGGAGTGAAATATTCTAAAAAAGTATCTACTCGACTATAAGAGAAAAAGGAGATAAAGTTTACAGCGAGGAAAAGATAAAAGCTTTTAGAAAAAAGAGGTTGAGAATGAGGACGAAGTAAAATGCATAGAAAAGGGGGAAGAATACAAGAAAGATAAAGAAAGCTTCGTAAAGTTTAAACAAGTAAAATAAACTTTATTGGAAATTAAGGGATGGTGTATTTACATCACGTACATTCTCTTTGATACTCTCTTTCTCTACACTCGGATACTTGGAGTAATTTTAAGAGTGACTTGTACAACAGTAAATTATAACACACCGATTCTATGTCTAAGACTTCCTATTTATAATAGTAGAAAATAACTACCAATAACTTCCTACATCATCATCTTCCGCCACTTGTTGTGATGCATGGGTTGGTCGCCCACAGGGCGCCACATGTCCTCTTAGTCATCCATCGAACGAAACCACTCCTTCCAATTCTTTTGAATTTCAAATCTTTGGGATAACTACCAAGCAGCGTCACAGTCGAAGCCCTCACGATTTTCCTTAAGTCTTGCAAGTGTTTCGACTCCTCTTCCTCAAAGGCTTTTATACTTTTCGACCAGCTCTTACCTCCAGCAAGATTCTAATACTTTCTCTTAAATGTCTTAACTTGCAAGGGGTGTCAAATTTAGGAGCTAACACTTGCTTAGTCGAAATTGATGTTAACTTTACTTTTGAATTTAATATATTTTTTAAGTAGTCAACATTAATGCACACTTTTTTTCCTCAGAAATTTCGCACCACATGCCCCTAGATTTACAAGTTTGGTCTTTCAAGCAATAAATTTAAAATTAAATGATTGTTTATCAAAATTATCGATGAATAAGTATGTCTTAGCAACTGGGCATGAAAGATTCTATTAAACTCTCAACCTTCAAATTTAGATTGGGTTTCTCTCGAATTCAAGCATGGTGATTTGAAGGTTCTGGTTCTAGATCCATGTTGGATAGTTAACTCGAGGAATTGGTCAATTTGGTGGCGAGATTTAAGGGGTTGTTTTGGCATGTGAGGAAAGGATCCCAACTGGTTTGGGGAATAACATTTCATTCAAGCTAGTAACGATTCCAACATTTATTTTTGAAAGAATATTGGTTAGGAGTAGAGCCTCTGAATCTTCAACTCCCGTGTGTTTTTACTATGCAGTTGAACATATCCAAGATTTGCAACATTGGGCATTGGTGCAAGGAGGAGTGGTTATGAAATTTTGACTTTGATCCTATTCATCTTTCTGGTCCAACCACAATTGAGTGAGAGGATATTCGTAGTATTATGAATTTTATCAAGCCTTCCGCTAATAAGATGGATGTGTTTATTTGGTGGTGTAATGCTGGTTCATTCTCTGTTAAATATGCATATCAAATGTTGCATTCCTTATCTTTATCGCGTGCTTCAATAATTCATGATCTTACCACATCTTTGAGTATTCTTTGAAAATTTAATGTTCCTTCCAACATCCAAGATTTTGCTTGGAGACTCCTCATCGGTTGTCTCCAAACGAAAGATGAACTTCCAAAGCATGGAATCATCCCGACACCTCACAACCTTGTCTGCACATTGTGTTTAAGCACAAAAGAAATCTTTCTCATTTATTTTTCTTCTGTCACATATCAGATCAAGTTTGGCTCAAAATCTCCAATTGGATACATTTGATAACCTGTTCTTATACGAAAGCAATTTGAAGGTTAAAATCAAGAAGTTTCGGTTATTGTTTTGCCTTGCCATTGTTTGGTCTATTTGATTAATTTGAAATTATATTTTATTTAAGGGGGGAATAAGGAAGTCATTGATATAGTTATTTTTGTAAAAACCCTCTCGCGAGAGTGGCTTGGTGTCAGCTCTAAGAATACTATTGTCTTATTTATTTTTGTAAAAAACCTCTCTCGAGAGTGGCTAAGTGCCAGCTCTAAGAATACTATTGTCTGTGATTAGGGCTGGAAATGAGTCGAGTCGAGTCGAACTCACCTCAGCTCGGCTCGACTCGTTAAGAATTGTTCGAATTCGAGTTCGAGTTTGACACAAACATTTTTTTAAGCTCAAACTCGACTCGTTATAAGTTCACGAACAGTTCGGTTCGACTCGTTAGGTTCATCTCATTAGGTTCAGCTCACATGGTTCACGAACTTAAAAACTATTTTTTTAAATATATATATTTTTTTGTATATTTGACATTTTAAATAAATATATATATTTTAAATAAAATATTAAAATAAAATAAAAGTTATCATATTGAAATTTAACTTTATCTTTGAAATCTACTAATTCAAAACCTACACAACTTTCAAGAGATACATTTAAGAGTCTAATTCAAAAACTACTAAATTGAAGATTAAATTTGTCTAAGATTTGAAGTAAATATTTAAATCTAATCTTAAAGACAGTATAATTCTTTTCATATGTAATCGAGTTGACTCATGAACCTAACGAGTCGAACTATGTATAGTTCAAGTTCAGCTCATTTAGTTAACGAACTTAATTTTTCGCTCATACTCAACTCATTTGGTTCATGAACCTAGTTCAACGATTTAATTGTCGAGTCGAATTCCGAACTATCTTCGAGCTGGTTTGGTTCATTGTCAGCCCTATCTGTGATAATGTTGTTTGTCTTTTAGATTTTTTAGTTTGTATCCTTTAATGTTTCAGATTAACTTGATCTTTGTTCTCTCTTTATATTAAGAATTGAGTATTCCTTAAAAAAAAATTGCTTATAAAAAAATAGTTTAAAAGACAATATATGTATATGACTCACTAATTTTATAAAGTTTAAAAGACAACCTTGTTAAAAGCATCTTAACAATCACATATTTGGCCTGTTTGATATATATGTATCTCTCTTGTAAAGATCCCTTCACTTTTGAAAAGTATTATTCAAAATATGGCATATGAGGACCATTATGTAATTAAATTAAAAATTCTGTCCCATACCCTCTTTCATCACTTGACACCCACAATGACACCCTGTCTCTTATATATGATTCAATGTTTGCAATGTTTAGTTTTTTTTCTTTCTCCTTTTTGCCAACATAACTCCACCTTTACGCCTCACCAGCATTCATATTCAATTCTATTTTTAATTTCAAAAATACTGACCTCAGCCAAAATAATTGCACTGTTATGAATCTGCAAAAGTAAATAATAAAGGCACTTTTTTCAATTGACCAAGTTAAAAGCTTTTGAAATGGTCCAATTTCAGCTCAATTCCATGAATTATGCAGTGCTTTTCCCTAGTTGTTAAATATGCACACACACTTTAGGTTTACGCAATTGGTTCCACTATTCTAAGTCAAGAAACTTTATGTATTCTTGTATGTTATTATCATCAAGATGATATCTAAGTATTGTTTTATCACTTACATACCACCCTGTTAAAATGACACAAACAATACATCTAGCCTGATTGGTAACACAGTGAGTCACCGCTGCCGCACGTTTAAGGTCTTTTTTACCGTGATTTTAAGAAGCTAGTATATGTATCTCGGTGATTTTCCTTGGCCATATATATAGAGATGGAACATAGTGGCATGGAACCTAAAGTTCGTACTAAAGTAATAATTATAGGAAATAAAACAGTGGTACCACACTATCACCACCTATTATGGTCAATTTTGGAATATACATATATAAGGGCATATTGGTAAATTAACAAAACACTATGTATTAATGCACACATAAGAAACTAAGAAAGAGTCAAAACATCATTCTCTCATTTTTCACTTTTCTCTTCAGTTTTCACATCATCACATTCACATACTTTCTCATTCCATTAATTTTTCTATGAGAATAAAAACAAAAATAGTTAGACTTAGGTGATTCTCTCTATCTCTCATTCTTTAGATATAACTCCCAAATCAAATCCAACCTATGAATTCAACACCACTTAACCACTTTGTGATTATCATCACCTATAAGAAATAGGCTTTATCTACAGTGAATATATTATTATTATCTTCTTGAAAATTTACATGTTCTGTTTTATTCTGTTTCATGGCTGCAACTAGTACTTCAACACAGGTTTTCAAAGACAGCAACGATGGAAACACAGAAGCTACAAGACAGGAAATTAAGGCTGCCATAGCCAAAGCAGTGGAGTTAAGAGCTCTTCATGCTGCTTTAGTGCGAGGGAATAGCTCTACTAATGCTAAATTTCCATCTCCTTCCTCTGTTCCACGCTCTGTTTCTCAGTTCTCTGCTCATGATTACCCTGTTTTCACACCTGTGAGAATCTCTTTTTTTCATTCAGTTTTGATTTTCTTGCTTAATTGGGTGTTCCAATTTATGTTCATTTAATTTCAACAAAGCTTTTTTTGTTAAAAAAAAGTTACTTTAGATTTTTAGATTATGCATGAAATGTGATTATTATGGTTTATCATGATAGAGACAGAACCCAAATCACCTGAAGTTATGGAACATGCAATAATTTATAATTCTCATCTGCGATAGTTACTAAATTATAAAATTTATTCTTTTCTATAACTTGTTTGGTAGATGTCATTGTTGTTTCAGTTGCATCTTTAATTTTTGCTCTCATTTCCCTATCTTATGTATTCTCGACATTTTTAACTTCATTTTTCTTGTCATGTAACGTAACCACATGTGTCAGTGTCGTTCGGTTTTGACATGTGTTAGACATCGTACACGTCTTCAATCTAAAGAGTCAATGCTACATAGTTTGTAATTCCCTAATTTTCACCCCCAAATTAATCTTAAATTTCGATGCATAGTAAATTTCTAAATGTGATAATTATTGACAGAGCTATGAAGATGACCCGATTGTATTGTACAATCAAAACCACATGAAAGGTCTAGCAATATCAGAAAGTTGGGATGGAGAATCAGGAAACAGCATAGAAACCATTGAGAAACCAAGTTCAAGAAAAGGGATACTACTACCTTGTGGTTATACCAATTCAGAATCTCACATTTGTCCTGCTGATGACACCAAATCTGTAACTGGCTCTTGTGCAAATCACATCACTGTTCTTCAAACATCACCTACGAGGAGAAACAGTTTAGAGGATTATAAATCGGTGTCCTCCTGCAATAAATGTAACCCTGCAATCATAACAAGCGAGTTAGAGAGTGCAAGGAACAGCAAGAGCTCCAATGTTGTTGTTTCGGTTGCAGAATCCCACTCGTCATTTCATTCCGAAACCAAAAGCAAAGGTGTGATTTCGTGGCTGTTTCCTCGGCTAAAGAGGAAGCATAAGAATGAGAATTCTCCGAATAGAGCAGAATCTGAGGATGTTTCTCAGGTTTTAAAGGACATAGGAATAAAGTCAATTGAGGCATTGAAGAAAGAGCTGATGGAAGCGAACGGGAATAGAGATGTGGCTCTAATGGAAGTTTCTGAAATGAGAACATCGTTGGGGGAGCTGAGACAGAAGATGGAGTACTTGGAGAGTTACTGCGAAGAACTGAAGAAAGCTTTGAAACAATCCATGCAGATGCAGGCAAAGGATTCTGAACAGGTTAAGCTTAGTAATCTTCATCTGAGAGGAAAATCAATTGATGGAAATGTTGAAAATTCAATGCCTGTGAATGAGGAAGTAATGATAGAGGGATTCTTGCAGATAGTATCAGAGTCAAGGTTATCAGTAAAACAGTTCTGTAAGACACTTATAAACAACATCGAAGAAAATGATAATTCTATGACAGAAAAATTGAACTCGCTTCTTCAACCATATAAGCTGTCACTAAATTCCAAGTACTCAAAAGCAGTTCTATACCATTTCGAAGCTTTCATAAATCAGTCTCTCTACCAAGACTTTGAGAATTGTGCTTTCCAGCAGAACGGTTGTCCGAAATTCATAGACCAGCATGAAGATTGTAAAGCGAAATTCTTGTCATTCGTTGCCCTTAGAAATTTGAGCTGGAATGAGGTACTGAGAAAGGGAACAAAATATTACAGTGAAGAATTTAGCAAATTTTGTGATCAGAAAATGAGTTGTATTACCAGTACTCTAAATTGTACCAGGCCTTGGCCTGAGAAACTCCTTCAAGCTTTCTTTGTGACTGCAAAATGCATGTGGCTGCTACATTTGCTTGCCTTTTCTTTCAACCCGCCACTGGGAGTTTTAAGAGTTGAAGAGAATAGAAACTTTGATCCTCGCTACATGGAAGATATGTGTTCAAGGTCACAGGGTCCAAGCAAAGTTAAGATCATGGTTATGCCAGGGTTTTATGTTAAAGATAGGGTCTTGAGGTGTAAGGTTCTTTGTAGGTACAAATCCACACCCTAAATAAAACTAGAAAATATTGTTTTATTTCACTGTAAGAAATCAAACATGTCATACCTAATATTAGTTCAAATTCGTTTATGAATTTTTTATGATTGTCACCGAGTAGGTGAAGAATCAGAAGTGTAACATATAATTAGCAAAATAAAATTATTCTTACTACTGCAAACCACACACTCATGTTTAGAAGCAGATAAATGCAGCATTTTCAAAGTTTTAAGCCTACCTTGTAAAGCTTATTTCAAGTGGTTGCTGTTATAATTCAAGTGTTTTTCATACAATTCGCAAAAGATTATGGAAAATAAATCAAACCCTCTTGTTTATAATACAGTGAGACCAACGTAGCAACGAATGAGTGGAACATACCACTAATTATATTGTGTAGTGTTGTCTATCCATTTTTTTGTATCACAAGTCATAAAAAGGGAGAACCAAAATAGACAAAAGCAAGAAAAAATGAACAGATAAATAATCCAGTACCAACTTAAAACAACTTAGTCAGATGAAAGAAACGTTCATGCATAAACCAAAGCTTGAATATTTTAGCAAGATCTACTGTTTTCGTATTCAATACAAACAGACAAGACATTGATTCATACTTTGAGACTGCAGATTCACAACCTTTATAATCAGTGATAGAATTGAAGGGTATGGATCCCAGTCAAATATCAAAATGTTTGTTTGACTAGCTCTATAATACATGTCCTTATGTAAAAATATTATGGTGATGGCATCGGGTGCTGAAAATGACGTTCACGCACGAGGATACTACTGTAATTGGGATGTAAAAGGATCAATCACATAGATATCAGCAACGCAACTTAGGATATGCTGGTCTTCTCCATTAATAATGACATTAGGATGGAGATGAACTTTCACCCTCACTCCACCAAAAGCTAACTGATAAACTGGTGGTTAAAGACCGCACATAGTGCCACCACTTTGGCGGGATGTATAACATTTCACCTTCCTCTAAAATGCAGTCTACAAATTCCAAGTCTTGCACCTTAGGAAACTTCACTTCATCTACGTCATCTAAATCAACCTTCAAACAATAAAAGAAGACCAGTGTTAACATGGAGACATACTTTCAAAAATATCAAAAGCAATAATACAAACACGTAACTAAATGAGCACATATGGAATGGACCCACTTTGCAAAATTGCAATAGGCAGAGTCGTGGGCTTAACTGTACATGTAAACTGAAAAAAGTATTTTGGTATAAATGCAAATATAGATGACGGAAACTTTAGGGTTGTGATAAAATTACAGTGGAGAGTGAGGAAATAAAACAGAAAATATGTTGAATTATTGAAATACTTCTGGAGTTCTATGACCATTCAAATGGGTTACAGAGACAGTGGTATTCTTCGAAGCAAAGGTATAAGACTGCACAGGAAATTATTCAATTATGTACAGTTCAAGAAACTAATTACCTGGCTGGAATTGCTAAGCATGGTTTCTGAGTAGGGGAAAAGTTCCTCAGACAAAGATGCTGGGTAAAGCCTAATGTATTTTTTCCCAACAACCTGGAAGTGTGAAACAAGACAAAAATCTTTGTCAAATAGATTATTCCATGGTGCACAGAAATCCTTTGCATATCTGCACCAATAATGTAAGCAGCACTTTGCAAACAATTTAAATAACTACAATATTAGCTAACCCACACCGTCATCCTCGTGTATCATAGGTTTATCTTAAAATAAGGCATAGAAAATCTGAACTTTGTATTTTGTTTTGCTGGAAGTACATCAACAATGCCTTGCCAGGCTGCGAGCTATATAAAGTATACATTTAGAACCATAATAACACAGTTTTATATAGTAAGAAGCATGAATTAGATTGCTTGATTATATTATTGATTGAAGTTGGACTTAAGGATCTCTATTTCAGCAATGAATACTTACAAGTTACAAGTGTTCAAAACAAACAAGAGCCCGGGGGAGGTGAGGGTTTAACAAGCAGCTTTAAATTGCAATTGTATACAATTTTTTTAAAGTATACAACAGAAATACCTGTGCAAGTATGTTATGATGTGGATCATGGTGTAATGGTGTTACTGTTCCAGCTGGACCAAACCAAGCATTGAGAGATCTTAACTCCCCTCCACCAGCAAAACAATAGTCAGGAATAAAGATATCTTTCCGAAGCTCATTTATCTGCCAATTCAAGTGTCAGAAACTGAAACAAGCAGTACAAGTCCTGAACTTGACTGTCAAAATTGCAAGAGTGGGATTAGAACTGTAGACAAAAATAAATCTAAACTTTGAATACCTGATCAAATAATGGATGCTGAGCAAGATATGTAGGACCATTCGGAGAACAGCCATGGGACCTTATCCGCTCAAGAAACTCTGAAAATGTAACCAGCTCTTGCTTCCAATCTGAGCATAAATAATTTTTCCCAACCTGCAAAGAATGCTGCACACTTACCCTTTTCTTCCAATATTTTGTTTAAAAAAATTATAGAAATACACCAAAATTTCCACTCCACCCCATTCTTCCTTTTTGGGTTTGTGTGTGTGTGGATTTCCAGTATACTGCTAAACAAATTCAACAACCTTGCCAGAAAAAAAAATTACAAGAGGTACCGAGACATGAATTCAAACAACACTAAAGGTAACACAAATTACAGTGTAAAGATGTAAGGTGCTGCAATTACAAACAACATTCACAATCATATGAAGCAAATCTTTCAACTTTTATCTCATGCATTTCCAGTTCAACAACTTGGTGGCTGAAACAGAATCTGCTAGGAATTGTCACAGAAGAGGGTGAGTGGGTGTGAGGTCTTCACTCACCAACTGTTGCAACCAAAATAAATTGTTTATTCACTTGTTAGAAGTATGACAGGATATCTACATAGAGCATTTGTAAGACTACACAAGCAGAGAAATATGAAGGGATTAGTATGTTCCAAGTGAATGAATAAACTGTTCATGAGTTCATGACCAATTCTGGCTGCCTGTAGAAATAAATTTAGCTATTTACAAAGCCCGGACAATGAATAAGTTATGATTAGAAGATAATAATTACATTGTCTATGCAATCAAAGTGTATTAAGTTTGGGCTTGTCAATGAAGTGTCCAATGTAGGTTTTTCGCTTAATAAAATTTCACTTGCAATACTTTTCTCTACGGTCGTACACCTTTACTTTTCCAAAAATACTAGTAGTAGTAAGAAAGATTACCAAAAAAGAACTTAATTTCAGAATATAACTTTGAATATACCTGCTAATGAACATATATGACCAAGGATTAATTACAGTTTAGTCATTGCTAGTTAAACAGCCATGTGTTTGATTAAAGTAGAAAATTGTCAATCAGAGTGTTTTTCCCTGTGAATTCAAGAAACTAACTAAACCGTTGCAGCCAGCTTTAAAAACTTTCTCTATATACATTTGTTCTTCAAAAAGAGTACCACACATTATAATAACAAATATATCAACTAGAGTAATTACCTCAACCGGAACAGTGCGGTCACCAGCAACACTTAGCAAGTAATCTTTATTATTCCAGTTTTTCTTGGCTGGCCAGTGCGCCATGCAATCACTAATGATAACCGGGGAGCCAGACAGGTAATGGTCTTTCAGGAACTTCTCCAGCGACAGGGCAGACCTCTTCACCACAAGCTTCGAAGCAAGGGACTTAACCGGTAAAAGTTGGAGCACCTACAGTGTAAAAGCTATAAAGTAAACGTTAGAAGGGACAAAAAGCAAATGCAGCCATAAAATAATCATCTTACTCATTTCCTAACTTCGCAAGTACAGAAAGAAACATAAAAGAGCAATATAAGGCCGTGTTTGGATATATAATAGAGAGTAAACCAAACAAAATGAGATTTATTGGAGTGAAGTAGAATGGAATAAAATAACAGAATGCAACCAGAACGTATTCCTATTCCATCATATCCCACTTGTTTCCATCCTATTTTAATCAATTCAAACAACGGAGTTTATTATAAATCAATTTAATTTTCACTTCATTATTGACCTGTTTGGATTGTCTTATTGGACCTTATCTACTTACATTAGTTTTGTGACACTATCTGATAGTCTTAATTAAAACAGCTTATGACATACTAATTTGAGTTTCTTTTTATAAGTTCTCCAATATAACTTACGAGATTAACTAAAAATGGGGTATATAAAAACAAGAGAAAAGAGGTGATGCACGGACGGTGTAAAACTATTTTACACAGTCACTGCACATCCATTAAACTCTACCATTCAAATTTATTTTATGTTTTGTTATAAAAATAGCTTATGAGATTCATAAGCGCTTATTTTGATAAGCACTTAAGCTATAAGCTAAAAATACTGTATCCAAACAATATCATTTTTTCATCAATTCATACATAACCTAAGAAAATAAACCTTCAAATTATAATACTAATTAGCACTCAATCTTGTATCATATGTTTGGACAAATACATAACTTTCTTGGATCAAAATCTTTCTAAAAAGAAAAGAAAAAGAGGAACGAACCTCACCTTAGACACATCAAAATCTTGATCAACGAGTCGATGATCGTCGCCACCAAAATCTTGGCAGCTTCTATCAGAAACCCTAAGGATCCTAGCCTTTTCAGAAACCTTACAAATGGCAGAGTCCAAATCCTTTCTTAGCAGATTCCCTCCCATGATGATCCCCATATCCAAAGCCCTAAGCGCCTCCTTAAACTCGCCGTTTCCGTAGTGGTGCTTCGCCACGTGAAGACACGCCATCGAGTACGCGTCACGCCACACCGGCAACACCGAGTGCCACGGTCCCGAGTGAAGTTGCTCCCACGCCATCTCCCTGACCGCCTCCGCTGCGCGAACGTCGCCGGCGGCAGCTAATGACGCCATCCTCACGTAGGCGTATCCTCCGTGCTCGGAAATGGACTGGAGCAGAGTGGGAGACTCAGTGTCTAGTGTCGGTGTAACGAAGTCGTCACGTGGAGAGTCGGCGGCGGATGCGGTGGTTTTCGACATGTTATGTGACGGCGAGGTTAGGTGGTTT